CTTCAAAACGGTCATCATGCTTAACAAAAGAGCCCAAAAAATTCCCCGCATGTTCCAGAATTGCCTGAGTTGTATACCCCTTCGGCATGTCATGCAACTGTACCCACATATCAATCAAGTCTAGCTTCACATCAAGAGGATTCACCCCGTCCATAACCTCCCGACACACAAGTGCGTTGTTCTCAAAAGCCCAGGGTCCCCCATTCAACACATAGTCCATATCCGTTTTATAGAAAAAAAAAATGAACAAGAACAATCCCCTTTGAATTTCCGTTACCTGTACCGCACGCATCGGCTGCCACACCGACGCTAACACCTGTCTCATGAAATCCAACTTTATCAATTTCTGTGTCAGAAACCTCCCCACCACCCTCCATGTCTCCTCCTCTCCCTCCACTCCGGCAACCTCCCCTTCCGGCAAAAACATCGCGCCCTCCTCTTCTAGCTGCGCCCAATCCGCCCACCAGTCCGTCAACCCCGCAACATTAGCCACCACCTCCGCCGGCCGACCCGTCCCATCCCCTCCCCTCCCACGCTGCACCCGACTGCCAGCCACCCTTCCCTCAACACTGCCATCCTCCACCACCGGGGCGTCACCCCTACGTCGCAACCCCCCACCGCCCTCATACTCCCCCTCCCTTTGCATGAAACTCGAAGCCATCTCCTCCCCAACTCTGTTCATCTCGTCGACAACAGCTCCCCCAACAGTCCCCCCCTGTCTCGCCCCCTCCAGCCGGCGTAACGAACCCCCATCGAACACTCCCTCATCCCTCCGTTCGCCATGACCACCCACCTCTTCGCCACGCCCTAGCAGTCCGCCCTCCATGCGCACGTCGCCGGCCATCATCCGGGTAGAAAGTACCGTTCGCCGTTGAAAACCTAGGAAACCCTAGTAGGAACCGCAAAAACCCTAGAGAGAATCTAGAGAGAGAATTTATCGTTAATTAAACCCTAGCAAATAAATTAATTAAATTTTATAATTGTCACAATTTTCTTTTCCACTAATAAAATCAGAGCTTAGCAAATTATGAAAAGAAATGAATATTAATAATTGACAGAAAATCAAATATAGAAAAATGAACAAAAATTAAGTTAATTGAAAAAAGTACATATTAATAATTATCTGAAAATAAAAAATGATCTATAATTGACTAAAATATTAAAAAAAAATGGTCAGATAATTACATTTTAATTTTTCACAATAATATTACAAAAATCACAATTCTGTCATAAATCTTTCACAATTTTAAAAAATAGAATGAAAATATTTAAATAATAATAATATTCTACATCATCAAGTAAAGGTAAAATAAAATTGAAAAGGAAATATTTCAATAATAATATTCTACATCATCAATAGTATATGCATATTTTAAACAATAGTAAAGGTAAATAAAAGATGCAATGAAAATTAAAAATGGAATGGATATATTTCAATAATAATATTCTAAATCATCAATTAAAAATGAAATGAAAATTTGTAATACCCACAACCTTATAAATAATATAAATATATAAATAAATAAATAAATATATATATATATATATATACACACACACACACATATATATATATATATATATATATATATATATATATATATATATATATATATATATATATATATATATATATATATATATATATATATATATATATATATATATATATATATATATATATATATATATATATATATATATATATATATATATATATATATATGTTTAGTAAATGAGGTCAACAAGTCAAAGCTTATTAAAATTTGATATTAGATAAAATTACTAAATTACCCTTCTCTACCCTTAAAGATTAAGGAATCCCTTGGTCTTGGAGAAAGATCTCTTTTAAAAGAAGATAAGGAGAGTTGACTAGAGAGATGGGGGAAGGTAAAATCTTGAAGCTTTGATCTCCATCTTCTTTTCAAGTTTAGGTCTCAAGTTATTGGGAGTATTCTAGGTGAGTTTGATCTCCATTTTTTTTTCACTCTTTTTGAGTTGGGTTTATCTTTTGAGCCCTAAGATTAATGTTTGAAAATATTAGGGATTTTGACAATGGGTATTTGGGCGAGTTTAATAGCTAAGATTTGGATGTTTTTAGGTAAGTGATTAACTCTTCTCTCCTTATTTTGCAAAACCCATAAACTATTTTAGAATCTCTACTACTTTAAATGCCCATTTAAGGGTTAGTATGAGTTAAAAGTATTTTGGACTATGATATGTTTTTGGACTATTAAACTTGACTAAAGATATCTTTGGGCATGCCTAAGTTTGGATTCTGTGAATAAGTGAACATGACTATATTTGACTATATTCGTATGTGTATGATTTGTACTAACGTGTTTTGCTCTAAAAGAGGATCATATAATTTATTTGACAATTATTAGTTTATGATTTCATAATATTACTTTTGGATATGTACTTTGTTATGTGATCTTTAAGGAATTGATTTTTGCTACAATGTGCTATTTGATTATAAGAATTATTTTGAAGGTTTGACCAAACTCATGAGGCAACCTATATTTTGTTGTTTGTTCTGTTCGGCTTGGAACGTTCCTAATTGCTCATTCTGAATCGTCGAGCTTGACTCATTTCGAATCGTCGAGTCTTTTGAATTATTTGTTGGAAAGTTCCATCCGGCTCATTCTGAATCGTCGAGCCTGACTCATTCCGAATCGTCGAGTCTTTTTGGACCATTATGCCGATAATGGTGGTTGTAGGTTGCCAATGAGTCATATGTTAAGGAATGATTTGTTCTTTTGAAAGTATTGCATTATGAAATGATGTTGATGCCCATGTAGCTAAAGTTTTCCGTTTTGGGAATTTGTGTATAGTATGATGTAAGTATGTTATAACTTTGATATAGTTTAAGGATTGAGTTTTGCATCTATTTATTACTCTAAGTTTTTTTGTACTCTATTGGGGTTACTTGATCCGGGGTTGAGAGGAGTACCACTTACTGGGCATTAGCTCATTATTTGTATATTTTTCCTCATGTTTCAGAGTAGTTAAGGACATGTGAATAATACGAGCACAAGTGGTGGGGTCTCGAAGGTGACTTTTGAAACTAAGAGGCTTAGTCCTAGTATTGGAGCTTATCATGGACTTTTGTTTATTTAGATATTCCCTTTGACCTTTGTATTTTTGGTAAACCATTGTGCTTGGTTTTGATGCTTGTGATGCATTTTGGACGTACTACTCTTGATTGTAAATATTTAATAGTGAATTTGATGAGTTTTTGGGAAGAACTAGTCAATTATATTTTGTCTTTTTGGGTTGTGGAATTATTGTATATTCAAGTGTTATTATGAAGATTCTGAGAGGTATGTATGGTTAGGCTTCGTATTGTTACAGGTTTTCATGTAGCGATATGGCCGGGTCATGTCCTAGAAGTGGGGCGTGACAAAATTGGGTAAAAATATCATTGCATCTGATATTTTAATTGACTAATTGACTGAAAATAAAAAGGAAATAATTGACTGCAAATAAAAAATGATCCATAATTGACTAATATGAAAAAAATAAATTGTTAGATCATTGCATTTTAATTAAAAATGGAAGAGAAACTACCAATGTCGTGTACAAAGAGGTTTCAATAATGTGTAAATAAAATCGTTGGTATTATGTTTTTTTAAATGACAAAATTGCTATATATCTAGACAAAAAAATATATATCTTCCATACAAATGAATTAAGATAACAATTCATTCATGTAACTGAGTTGCTAGGGAACAAGCACATTGGCCTAATTTATTAAAAAAGATACTAAACAATGATAAATAAAATCTCTAAAGTTACAGCACCGCATGCGTACATCTATTCATTAGCTATTAATTTGAGCAATTATTTGCTTAAATTCGAGAAATGATAATATCAAAACACATAAATGATCCAAGCCGTATCTTCAGTTGCACTATATAATATTTGATGTTCTAATTTAAATAATTATATATCAATCCAAATATTCTTAATATATTACAACAAATCTATTCCGTGCATCGCACGAGGACAAATACAAGTATATCAAAAAGAAAAAACTAAATTAAATTCCAATCAAAATATCCTTCTAATTAAAATTTTGCATCCTTAGCTTAATGATTAGATTTCCCATCCAGAGATTCTCCATGCATTACTCTACTACAAATTATATTGTGGAATACTAGTAAATGTTAATTTTTTAATTTACTAAAATTTAAATTTTAGTGTATTAAATGTTCATTATACATAAAAATAAACTTTCAATATATTAAAATAATATTTAAATAATGAATATTCAATAAACTAAAAATTAACCAGTATATCGGTGATTTATATTATTAACTTATATTGTACCCGGCCGCATGATCAGTTGTAATAGATTAACAAGAAAGAAGGGATGTCGGGGATGGTGGTTTAACACTGGAGTGGGCAAAACATTATAAGGCAAATTATATCATACACCAAAGTTTACTTTGCATTGTGAATCTTAGTTCAAAATAGCATTAAAATGATGTGCTCGTAGTTAATATATTATGTGTCGGCGATTAATCGCTACAAATAAATTGAAAAACAAATAATATATTAATTGCAAATTAAACACATAATTTTTAAATTAGAATTTATGTAGAAGATAATCCATTCTATAATAATTAGACATTAAAGTGAGTATGCATGGCAAAAGGTTTCAATAGGAAAATATTACATAGACTCCCATGGACCTAAGTGATGAAAAATATTCTATCATTGTTTGTGAAATAAAAGTGATGGAGCAAAATTTAAGAGTAAATGTAGTATAACCCGTTTCAATAACAATATACGGAGTAACATCATATTTAATTTAATTATCTAAGAAGTACATGGAAATGTACTTGCATTGGGTATTTTAAGATTCCCAATTCCCGGCCTTCTTGATTCTCTAATTAACTTGGACAGCAATCATAACATGTCAAAAAACAAAGAATACGAAATTCGCGGCCTTCAAAGGCATCATCCTCAAGATTCATCCATAATTATCAGTAAAATTACCAATTAAAATGCTCCGCATAATTGAACATGTCATCCGGAGCCGGAAACTCGGCGTTGAAATGTAGCGACGGAGGCGAATCAAACCCCCTACTGTTAAAATTTTCAATCTCTCCAGCCGCAAACTGGCCGTTCTGATCATCAAGACTTTTCTTTGCATCCACACACATGGGTGTGGACGGCTCTGATTTCGGGGCTTCGGGCTTAGGAAAAAACCCATTTAACACGTCTCCAAGTAGCCCAGAATTCGGCGGCTGAGACTCAAAGAACTCCATGCCGGAGCTCCTGTTTGGACAAGCATTATCTACACAACTTTGAGAAGATAAACTGCGAGGTTTTTGAGCAGTGATTTCAGTCAAGAAAGAAGAACAAGGAGTGCCGCCATTGTCGTTTAACATTAAGGGTAATTGATGATCGCCCAGAGACATTATTGGATTGGCGGTTTGGTTAGCAATGAGCGACGAAACTATGGTCGGAAAGTTGGAATTGTCGACGACGCCGTGAAAAGCTGCGGGAAAAGGCGGAAAGATAAAGTTGGTTCTGGCTTTAACGCCACGCATGTTCCTAGCGGCGGCGTCGTAAGCGCACGCAGCTTCCTCCGCCGTGTCATACGTCCCAAGCCACCGCCGTTCTTTCGACTGAGGGTCTCTGATCTCCGCCGCATAACGGCCCCACGGGCGGCGGCGCACGCCTCGGTACTTCATAATTACGCCGGCGGACGCCGCCCTTCTGCTGGCAGGGCTGCTCCCGGCGGCGGTGGCGGCGCATCTCTTGGGAAGGGGAGGGATGAGGTCAGACGAATTGTCTGTGAAACCGTTTACCCTCTTCATAGCATCCTCCATTTTTGAAGGGAATAAGCTAAGAGAAGAACTAATGGAGTATATATATGTAGTAGTCTGAAGGGTAGGGTTGAGTAGAAGAAGAATTTGCACCTGAACCAATTGGAGACGAGAGTAATGGGTATTTATAGTGGATTAGTGGGGACTGGGGATTAGACTTGAGAAAGAAACAAAAACTGCCCTTTCCATTTTATTACGGAGTATACTATTATTATACTTAGTTTCCTCAAATTAATCCTTAACTCACAGGATTAAGTGTCCGGAATTATTGAGAGGTAAATTGCAAGTAGCGCAATTAATTTTATTTGACAAGTTTTAGTCTTCATATCATCCACATCTTTTATCATCCACTTCCTTTATATTGATTAAAATATTAATGGGAAAACTTTTTTTTAATTGAATAATAAGAGAAAATTTCTAAAAGAAGTGATCAAAGTGGAGCATGATTCTCTATTACCACATAAGATGATAAAAGGATTTTAGTGAAATTTTGTTGTTCCTTTAAAAAAGTTATATGTAATCATCGCACGTATATTTTCTTGAATGAAATAAGATTTCGTTTTGGGGGAAGTTGAAGACGTCTATATCTCCCTAGCTTTGTATGATGTAGAGAAAAGGAGACAGCATACCTGTGGAATACATGATTGCATTGGCGTCTCTCAGAAATTATTACTCTATGGGGCATTTGGTTCAGGTTATATAAGATAACCAAGATTATATTTGCTTGGTAATATAAGATTATCATGTTTGGTTTAAGTTATGTAACTTTTTCAGGAAATGTCAGATAACCACCCGCATTAAGTTTTTAGCTACGGGAAGGGAATGTGAGATACCTTCCAATTTCTTAGGTAATTTCACATTCCCTTGTCTTATTACTAATGTTGGGCTTTTGACGTTTTAATCAATTTATCTTATTACCGTTGTCTTATTTACCTATCTTAGTTTTAAACCAAACACATGAATCTAACATTCCCAGCAATCTAACATTCCCTAAGGTAATCTAACATTCCGTGAACCAAACGCCCCCTAACCTCGCACGTACATCTCATTTAATTCTTATATAATAGATTGTTGGCATGGACGGAGGATCGAGTCCGGTTAACTGCACTGTAGGAATTTCACCGGCCTCTTGTGAAAATGGTTCTTCGTGGGCATGAGACACGGGTCCTCCCACTTAATGGACTGTTGACTCACCGTGATTTACCACTTCACAATGTTGTGGGGGACCTTAAGTACATTATAGGCTTGGCTCTGTTTGGTAAATGACTGTTAGTTGATAGCTATTAGCTGATTGGGTTAATTAGATGTTATAACTAATTGATAATATTAGCTGATTGTAGAAAGGTGTTTGGTAAATTAACGGCTGTTTAGTATAATTCTTTTCTAAAAAATCTAATTGAAAAAGTTACTTTGAACAGTTTTTTGAATTTTAGCATTTTGGAGTTACAAAAAGCTAATTAACGAAACACTTATATTGATTTTTTAACAAAGTCAAACAATTAATAATGGTCAAATAAGACAAAATTGGCTGATAAGCTATCTATTTTACCAAACCGGGCCTTTATATTTAATATATAAACATTAGTGTAATAATTCAACGAGAAAATATCGTTTTTAGTCCCTTGACTATAATACAAGTATCAATTTTAGTCATTGACTATTAAAGTTTCAAATTCGGTGCATGACTATTCAGTTTGTATCACATTTGGTACTTGACTATTAACATTTTCGAATTATGTTTGTGGCTATTCAAATAATATCACATTTGGTCCTGCCGTTAAACTTTTCGATCAAGTTACTGGTGACCGGCTAATTTATTTAATTTTTATTTAAATAATTATTTAAATAATTTTTAAATTAAAAACCTTAAAAATAACAAAAATAAAAAATAAAATAGAAAACTACGACCACCCCACCCCCTCCTCCTTCATCTCCGGCGAAAACGAAGGAAGAAGGGGGTGGGGTGGCCGGCGTTCTCTTTCCCCCCTTCTTCCTTTGTCTCTGCCGGAGACGAAGGAGGAGGGTTGGGTTAGGGGGGGGGGGGTGGGTGGCCGGCATTTTCTTTATTATTATTTTTTTAAAGTTTTTAAATTTAAAAATTATTAAAACAATTTTTTAAATAAAAATTAAATAAATTAGCCAGTCACCGGTGACTTGGCTGAAAATTTGGCCTGAAAATTTAATGGTAGGACCAAATGTGATACAAATTGAAAAGTTATGCACCTATTTTGAAAATGTTAATAGTCAATGACCAAATATGATACAAATTGAATAGTCATGTACCTAATTTAAAAATTTTAATAGTCAAGGACTAAAATTGATACATGTATTATAATCGATGGACTAAAAATAATATTTTCCCTAATTTAACAAAGTGCAAATTGAAATCTACTCAAAATATTATTCTTTTAGATATAGAATTTTTAGAGTTCATATTTTTTAAAAAAAATGTATATGCCCATTCCTTTAAGTATTTTTTTTTTTTTTTATAAACCAATAAAAAGTATTATATTTTAACTAAAAATTATTACACGTCATAGGAAACCTACTCGTCTAACAATAGTTGCGTTGTATTCAAGGAAAATGTTTTGTATATTTTTAAGGAGTATTATTCTTGCAATATGTTTAAATAATTATAATTTGTGATTTGTTGAACACAACATTTTTTTTAACTAATCTAATTCTATATTAAAAGACCATATTCTTTTATGACTAAAAATGTTGAAACAAATAGTTAGACCATAATTAATTTAATTATTTTTTATATGCATGATGGATCTCGCCATATCCCCTCTTGGGAGGACTTGGTCTGACCTGTGCCTACATCCTATCCAAGACTAGGCTATGTTTTCGAACCTGTGATCTCAACTCTGATATCAATTGATGAATCTCGGCATTGTAGTATGCTTAGTGCCACATAGGTTTTTGTCTATCTGGTTGTCATATCCTACTTATAATCAATTAGGGATAAATATGTGTCTATTAACCATTTAACCACATCCTTCCATGGTAAGTCATATCGTCACGTCTCGAATTGAGCAGGGGCTAAACTCGGCCAATCCGGTCGACGTCCAACAATGCAGTATAATTTATCTTAAACATTGATCTCATTGGAAGAAAATGAAAGAAAAAAAAAACTGTTATTATGTCAAAAAAAAAAAAGATTAAAAATTAAAGTGAAAAGTAAGAATGTGTGTAGTATAGTAGATTACTTGCTCGGAAAATATATGTTGGCTTTGTAGAATTAAGTTAGCCGCAATTAGGTTGTCTAAATTAAAGTTGTACTTTTTGGTATGACTATAAAGTAGTAAATTCAACTTTTCTACTAACCCTAATTCAATCTCCCTCTTGCTGATTACCAAAATGGCAACATTTGAATTGCTTAACAAGAATGTCGTTTTTTGAATTAAATTCTATATACTTAATTTGATGTTTTTTTTTTGAATGCTACTAGCTCTATTACATTGTAGTATCTGTTCATATACTTTCTCAACTTACTGAAACACAAAGAGCTAACAACGCCTCCACTGAGGCTCGAACTCACAACCTTCCAAATGAAAGTCCAACCCGGGTACCATTGGACCACATAGTCCTGGTTACTTAATTTGATGTGATTTACTTTGAACTTTGAATAAAATATTAGAATTAACAGCAACTATCTAACTAGAGTGGGTGTGAATTACTAAATTTTTATGAGTTAATACTCAAAATGGTCCTTGACTTGTGAGTTTTTGCTCTAGTCTTCAGTTTGTTATTTCGTTCAATTGGTGTTAAATAAAACGACAATTTGATAATTCCAATATTTGCCTCTCATTTACTCTATTTCACCCTCTTCAATTTGTCACTCTTAATTCGTCATTCTTTTCAAATTTCATATCTTTTCTATTCTTAACGCCATAATTCTCTATAGCTTCTTTAAACTATTCTCAACTAGCAAATGTTAGTCCTTTGCAAAGATGGAGTTTTCCTTGTTAGTCTAAGAGGGTAAATGAGAGACAAGTATTGCAATATTAATTTCAATTTATTCTTCTATTTAACACCAACTGGATGGAATAACAAATGGAGAACTATATTGAGCAAAAACACACAAGTCTAGAACTACATTGGGTCACAAAAGTCGTTTAGGACGAAATCGAGAGAAATCACCATAGTGGATGACTATTTTGGGTATTGACTCAAATTTTTATATTACTTTTTCATTTAAAATTATTATATCTTATTTAAAGAGTTAGATTTCATTCACTTATATATGTTTGAACAAAAATGTTTGTACCGTTATAACATGTTTACTTTCTCCCATGATTTTATTTTCACTATCTTATTCATTACTTTAACTTAATTAATTAAAGCTAAACCACTAATAAATATTTTCCCTGTCTCCCTGGACTATAATGATACATGGTATTGGCATGGGGACCCAAAAGGTATATATTCTGTGAAGAGTGGATACAGGCGGATAGTGAGGGACTACGAGAGTCAAGGGGGGGGGGGGGGAGTTTATGAATTGGTTATCTTTGTGGCGGCTCAAGATACCCCGAAATGGAGAATGTTTCTTTGGAGAGCCATTTGTGATATATTGCCCACTACTACAAACTTGCTTATAAGGAGGGTTGATGTGAGCCCTTATTGTGCCATGTGTGGGATATCACAAGAGGATACAATGCATGCTTTAGTCATGTGTGACTATGCAAGGAACATTTGGGAACAATCTAACCTTACAATCCCCAACATTGTCACGAATATTTTTCATGTTTGGTTTGAGGAACTTCAAAATGTTTTAGATTCTGATGGAATGTTATATGCAGCATCAATTCTATACAACATTTGGAGAGCACGAAATCGAGCGGTAAAAAAAAAAATATCAGCCTATTTGTTATATATATATGCTGTGGAATCTCAGCCTTAGATCAACTCATCTTTAAAAAAAATATTGTCATTTACGATCTACAACAATGTGCACCGGAAGGCACAACAATGTGATCTGTAAGGCATAACTATTAGGA